CTCCTTCCTGGACCCCCAAATTCCTCCCTGGATCCCCAAACCCCTCCCCTGGACCCCCAATTCCATCCCTGGACCCCCAAATTCCTCCCTGGTCCCCCAAACTCCTCCCTGGTCCCCCAAACTCCTTCCTGGACCCCCAAACTCCTCCCCTGGACCCCCAAACTCCTCCCCTGGACCACCAATTCCATCCCTGGACCCCCAAATTCCTCCCTGGACCCCCAAAGCCCTTCCTGTACCACCAAACCCCTCCTTGGACCCCCAAACTGCTTCCTGGACCCCCAATTTCATCCCTGGTCTCCCAAAATCGTCCCTGGACCCCCAAACTCCTCCCTAGACCCCCCCCCAAACTCATCCCTGGTCCCCCAATCCCCTCTCTGGACCCCCAATTTCATCTCTGGACCCCCAAATTCCTCCCTGGACCCCCCAGCCCCATCACACTCCAGATTTTTTTGGGATTAACGTTTATTCTGGCCACAACAAGCGCGAGGGGCCGGGGCGGGGGGCAGCACCTTTGTGCCCCCCTTCCCTGGTTAATAGAAACACCCCAAAAATGGGCAAAAAAAGCCTCAAAGCCCCCCCCAAAATAAAGCTGGATAAGGAATTGGGGAGGGAGGGAGTTAGAGAGGGTCTGGGGGAGCTCGGTCACCGCTCTGGGGGGGTCCCCAAAGCCCCCCGGGTTGGGAGGGGGGGATCATGGCTCGCCGCAGATTTGGGGGCTCAGCACCAGCTGCGGCAGCTGGAATTTGGGGGTCCCGTCGCCCCGGAGCCCCCCGGGGTCGCAGCGGGAGGAGATCCCCCCAACGCCGGGGATTTGGGGGTCCCCGGGGCAGAGCTCCACGTCGGGGAAGCGCCTCCTCCCCAATTTGGGGGGCTCCGGCGAGGCCCCGCCGGGGGTGAAGCCCACCCGGGGCACCCAGCGGCGGCGCCGGGGGTTCCCGTGGCGGGGGGCTCCTCCTTCCTCCCGGCCGGCCTTGGAGCCGCCCCTCCTCATCCTCCCGGAGGCGCCGGCCCCGAATTTGGGCAGTTTCACCCCAAAGCGACGCCCGGGGGGCTCCGAGGTGCCGTCCAAGCCCGGCGGCGCCAGCTCCAGCAGCGGCACCTTCAGCAGCGGCGGCGGCTCCGCGGCGCGGCGGGGCTCGGGGCGCTCCGGGACCGGTTCTGGTCCCGGCAGGGCGAACCCCACGGCGGGGATGGCGATCCGGGCTTTGGGTTTGGGGCGGGGGGTCCCGGGGGGCTCCGGGGCCGTCCAGCCCAGGGTCAGGCTCTCGGCGCTGCCCCCTCGTTTCGGGGCAGCTTTGGGGATCCCCCCGGGGCGGAGGTCGGGGCTGGACCCCCCGAATTTGGGCAGCGCCGCCGGCGCGATGCCGAAGCGCGGGGCGCGGAGCCGGGGGGAGCCCGGCGCGGCCGCGATGCCGAAGCGGGGCCGGTCCTCGATGTCGCCGAAGGGCGACAGCGACAATTTGGGCACCTTCAGCTTGGCCCCGGCGTCTCCCACCGGCCCCAGGTCCAGCTCCACGCTGGGAATGGCGATCCCCGGCGGCGGCGGCACCGGCGGAGCCCCGCCGCCGCCTTCCCGCAGCTTGGCCAGCGCCCACCCGAGGCGGGGGAGGCGGAATTTGGGGGTTTTGGGGGCGATTTCCACCGGCGGAGCCTCCAGCTCCCGGCTGAGCTTCCGCAGCCCCTCGGCAAAGCGGGGACCCGCGTCCGGGCTCCTCCCGGGGGGCTCCGGGCTAGCGAGGCCGAGCTCCGGCACCAGCTCCACGGCGGCTTTGGGGGCGTCGATGGGGACGGAGGGGACGCGGAGGGTCGGGAACGACCCCCGAGCGCCGGCAGCCCCCTCCTCATCCCTCCCGGTGGCACCGGGGGTCGCGGCCGAGCCCCCCTTTCCCCAGGGGGGTGGGCTCAGCCCCAGCGACCCCTTGGGAGCCGCCAGCTCCACGGCCGGGATGCGCGGCCCGGAGGCGGCCGGGGGCAGCTCGGGGGGCTCGGGGGGCTCCGGGAGCGGCGGCCGGGCCGCGGCCGCTTCGCGCACGGTCAGGCGGGGCCGCGGCGGCTCCGGGGGTCCCGGGGGTCCCGGGGGAAGCTCCGGGGCGGAGGCGCCGCGGGGTTTCGGGAGTTGCTTCGGGAGCTTGGGCAGGGCCAGCTCCAGCGAGAGCTGCTCGGGGGGCATCGCCAGGGGCTGGGGGGCACGGGGGGATGTGGGGTACGGGGGGGTCGGGGAGACCCGGCACCCCCAAACCAGCCCGTGTGCGCGGGGAGCCGCGAACACCCCAAAAAACCACCCAACAGGAACCCCCAAACACCCCACAGGGAGCCCCGAACACCCCAAAAATCACACAACAGGAACCCCCAAACACCCCACCCACAGGGAGCCTCAAACACCCCAAAAATCACCCAACAGGAACCCCCAAACACCCCAAAAACCACCCACCAGGGACCCCCAAACAACCCACCCACAGGGAGCCCCGAACACCCCAAAAACCACCCAACAGGAACCCCCAAACACCCCACAGGGAGCCCCGAACACCCCAAAAATCACCCAACAGGAACCCCCAAACACCCCACAGGGAGCCCCGAACACCCCAAAAACCACCCAAAAGGAACCCCAAAGACCCACAAATTACCCACAGGGAACCCCAAACACCCCAAAACCTCACCCCTCATCCACAGGGACCCCTCCCATCCACGGGGACCCCCCAATCCACAGGGACCCCCCACCCACAGGGATCCCCCACCCACAGGGATCCCCCATCTACAGGGACCCTCCTCATCCATGGGGACCCCCCACCCACGGGGACCCCCCAATCCACGGGGACCCCCAATCCACAGGGACCCCCCACCCACGGGGACCCCTCCCATCCATAGGGACCTCCCAATCCATAGGGACCCCCCCCAATCCATAGGGACCCCCCAATTCATAGGGACCCCCCTCATCCACAAGGACCCAAATCCACAGGGACCCAAATCCACAGGGACCCCCCAATCCACGGGGACCCCTCCCATCCACAGGGACCCCGAATCCACAGGGACCCTCCTCATCCACAGGGACCCCCCACCCACGGGGACCCCCCAATCCACAGGGACCCCCCAATCCACGGGGACCCGCCATCCATAGGGACCCCCAATCCACGGGGACCCCCCACCCACGGGGACCCCCCAATCCACAGGGACCCTCCTCATCCACAGGGACCCCCACCCATAGGGACCCCCCACCCACGGGGACCCCCCACCCACGGGGACCCCCGAACCCCTCGGGGCCGCACCAGCCTGGCCGCTCGGTCCCGCTGTCCCTCGGGGGTCCCGGGGGGGGTCCCGGGGGTCCCCCGGCGCAGCTGCAGCGACACGCGGCAGCCCCCGGCCCCCTCCAGCAGCCGCCCCACGGCCTCGGGGGTCGCCCCCTCGAAGGAGACCCGCGCCCCCAGGACACGGTCACCTGCGGGGACAGCGCTGTCACCCCCGGGGTCACCCCCG